ACGTTTATCGAGTGATTCGAGTGCTTATGAAGAAATAATAAAAGGCAATTGGAGATTGGTTCACGCGAGAAGAAATGCAGGGTGCTTGCTCCCGACGTTACGACCGTCACGAAAGCGCCGAGCCTTTTCGTTTAACGTTCGATTTGCAACTCTGTGCATAATGTAAGTAGACTAGATTGGCGTTTAGACGAATTGCCCGAGGCTCTCCGGACATTTTCACGCGATGATGCATATTGTAACATTCGCGAATAAGTGAACGCTTGGTGCACTCATTTTGCGACTATTAGAGTAAAATTGCGTCCAATTATTTTGCGCAACTCGCATTTTATTCGAGAAGCTTACCAGAGAAAGTTGCGCATTCTTGAGAACCGAGCCCAAATCGCAATCGACGTTCGAGGATAATTTCGAACTGCCCCTTGAGCGGTAAGTAATTTTAGTTAATCCATAATCTTTTCCCTCCGGAGCTGCTCCGGGCATAATAATTAAACAATTTCAAGTCTTTTTTGAATAAAACATCAAACGCCATTATTCGACTTATTGCGGAGTTTATCTTTCGTATTCTTTCACATCTGGACTCATCAATTAACATGATTAATTAGTCGAGTCAGTAGCTTTTCACACACCTTTTTCTGATCTTTTGAGTGATAACGGGACTCAAAACAGTCATTACTCGAAATATTTCTTAATAACGGCTAATTTCATTAATGACATGATGATGATTTTGCGCCACGAAGTAGAAACTTCCAAGCAATTAAAGCTTTACTTTCTACGGCATTACGTATATCTCTGCCAGGCCTCGATGAGTTTCGTGTATCGTTTTGCTACATCGTTATCCTCGCTTTACAATTTCCGCCGGGCATAAATACACGGCCAGGGTTTATAATCAGAGAGGATAAGCGAAATTCAGGACTTAATTTCAAAATTTAATTATCGAACCGCATTGTGAACGCAGCGTCCAAGTTAATTACTCGCAGTAACGTGAGACGCAAACAACTTGGGTCTTGGGTTTTTACACGTTCGCGACTGGAACGTCGGCGATACCTACACGTCCGAGCTTACGCAAAGACGCATTTTGTCGAAAGTACATTATCGCGATTTACTCCCGAGTCACGCGCGCGAATCTCGGAATATCCAGGCGCAATTTCCGAGCGGACTTTCTAAAATACATCTAAAACATCGCGATCCCGCACGAGATATCAATTACCAATTACGGAAAGGAGAAGAGGAAGAGGAATACTCGCGTGCCCGTTTCCGGAATTACGTCCCGATGACAAATTTCACGGAAGAACGACGGCGCAACGTAGCGGCGGTCATTACGCGGCGCACGGCCGCTCCCCCCCCCCTCGTCCCGCGCGTGTCCCATTAAGTCGAAAATTTCGGCGCGGTTCAGCGACGTGTAATTTGGCGAAACCCTTATAACGTCGTCGTCGAAGGCGAAACCCGGGGAGCGTGACAGTGTGCACGGGGCTTAATCGCGTTTGCTTATTTCCGCCGTTGGCCGCCGCGCCGGTGCAATTATGTTGCGGAGGACGCGCGCGCGCTCTCGCACTCTCGCCTCCCCGCATAAGGGCTTATTTTATTCCTATTAGGGTAAAACGGGTAGCCGGGACGGGCGGACGGACGGGGACGCGCACCGCTCTGTACCCACAATT